TTGTTCATACCATCTGCCATGTCTCTTTCCTTATTTTCTTATATCATTAGATTTAGGCGTTTAAGATTAGTTAGTGACACTTATTCCTAGCTATAGCAATCTTTAAAGAATTCCCCCAATCCATGTGGAGATGATACTCACTCACTAATGTATTACTTGCATCAATTGTGTATAATTGTATAGATTTGCATACCATAGTACACACGTTTAAAAGCAATCAAGTTTTTGGAATCGTTGCTGGGGATTTGCAACTGCAAGATTTTTTTTAGTTTTTCCATAGCAAGTTTTTCTCTTTAGTCTCTCATTTTAGTCCCACTTGTTTGTTTTCTTTATTTCTTTTACAGAATTTGTCGTTGCATGACGAGAAGAACTACCGGAGAACCACTATTATCCGTTGAACCTGAAATCGAGCAATTTTTCAAACAAAGACGACGTGGTCAATGTGCCCTAAGAAATATGTATTAGTTACCAAATCAGTTGGAGACCCAGTGGACGATCAAGTAAATCCAAATATCTCAGCAAATAATATTCCAAGAAATGATGCAAGATCAGAAGATATACGAGATCACTTAACCCCTATTATTGTTGATCTCAATCCTGGAATCGTGGCACCAGAAATCCATGCAACCTATTTTGAGCTTAAACTGGTGATGTTCAACATGCTAAATTCCATCGGTCAATTTGGTGGCTCGTCTAATTAAGATGCTAGGCAATATGTATGTATTTTCCTTGAAGTGTGCAACTCGATTAAACAACAAGGAGTGCACAAAGATGTGTTGAAGCTAAAATTATTCCCCTACTATTTTCATGACCGAGCAAGATCATGGCTTAGTGGAGTTCCATTCGACTCGATGGAGTCTTAGGCTGACTTGTGCAAATTTTTTTGCTAAGGTATAATCCACCAAACATGAACATGCAACTTCGTACTAACTTTGAAAGTTGCTAGGGCGATGAAAAATCTATATATCAATGATGGGACCGATATAAAAGTTTGTTTCACAGATGCACCAACCATATATTCCACGGCTGGAATCAGGCCGTGATGTTCTACAATGGAGTCAATGCGGCCAGTCACATGATGTTGGACGCCTCAGCAAATGGTACTTTTCTTAATAAGTCGCCTGAGGAAGCTTTTAATATCCTTGATAGGATAGCTAACAACGATTATCAATTCCTATCTACAAGGCTTGGAACTAGAAGGAAGACACCTGGGACATTTGAACTAGACACCAAAGATTCAATGTCCAACCAACTTTCTACTATAACAAATATGTTGAAAAATCTACAACGTTTCATTGAGGCAAAAGAAGTCAAGGCATCTAGCTCGGCATGTATTTTTTGCCACAACAACCACCATAAAAGTGAATGCCCAGAAAATTAGGAGTCTATTAATTTTGTGGGCAATTTTAATAGAAGCAATAATAACCCCTACTCTAATACCTATAATCCAGGATGACATAAACATCCTAACCTTTTAAGGGGTATTCAAGAAACTAAAAACAACCATGCAGGAAACTTAAATAGGCCACATTAAAATATTTCTGAACCTTCAAATTTTCAGCATCAATAGATGCCATGGTAAAATATTAACAAAGGTTCAACATCTTCATCAAATTTTAACTCTCTTGAAGCTTCTCTACAAGAATTTATGACTTCGAAAAAAGATTTTATGGCTTCAACAAAGGTCTTGATGTACTAACATTCATCAAGAATTAAAAATCAAGGCACACTTTTGCAAAGTCAAACAAATTTATTGCAAAGTCATAGCTCATCTTTAAGAGCATTGGAGACCAAGTGGGCCAAATTGCCACAACATTACATGTTGACCCACAAGGAAGTCTCTCTAGTGATATTGAGGTCACTAAGCCTCATGGAAAGGAGCAATACAGTGTGCTTACATTGAGGAATGGTACCCAGATTAATAAAAAAATAAGTTTGGGAAAAGAAGTAAGAAATTTCTCGCCACAAAGTTGTACAAGAAGAATCTAAAGGTCAAGTTGAACTTGTTGACAAGAAAAATTGCCTATGGAGAATGCCAAGGATGAGGGTTCAACCAGTCATCCAACTGATGGAGGAAAATTTGATGCCATGGTAAAAGTTTCACCTCCACCTACAGCGGTTGAGGTCAGACACCCTCCACCCTTCCCTCAACTGTTAAAAAAACACAACGATGAGATGCAATTCAAAAGGTTTATTGATGTCCTTGATAATTTGTATATCAATATCCTACTGATTAAGGCCATTGATCAGATGTCTTTCTATGCCAAATTTTTGAAGGACGTTGTCACGAAGAAGAGAAAGGTGGAAAGACTAGAAAATGTTACCATGAGGAAAGAATATCATTTTGCATTGAGTAAACTTTCACCGAAGCAAAAATATCCTTGTAGTTTTGTTATACCTTTTTCCATAAGTGAAAACTATGTTGGAAGAGCACCATGTGACTTAGTATCAAGTGTAATTCTAATGCCCAAATTTATATTTTTGAAGCTTGGAATGGGTAATGCTCAACCAATCACCGTGATCTTACAACTAGTTGACTGATCACACGTTCGTCCTGAGGGTAGGATTGAAGATGTCATTGTGAAAGTGGACAAGTTTATCTTTCCAGCAGACTTCCTCATTCTAGATTGTGAGACCGACAAAAATGCACCTATTATTCTGGGCCGTCCTTTCTTAGCCACGAGGTTCATCCTAATAGATTGTGAGAAGGGATAGTTCATGATGTGGGTGGCCGATCAGAGTGTCACAATCAATGTCTTTAACACTCTGAAATTTATTAATGATTCTAAACAATACCAATGCATTGAAGAAATGGATTCAATGGAAGAAGATGAAGTAGAAAATTTTTTCCATGGCAAATTTTTACATCTTGAAGAGCATGTCAATTTTTACCAAGATAAAATTTTACAGAATGAGGCAAACAACAAAATTTTCCAATATAAATTTTTTCTGACTGAAGCAAAAGATAGACTTATTAAAGATGAAGCAAATGCGGAGTTTGAGGAATATTTATTAGAGATGAAACATTCTAGCTTGCTTTAAGCTAGACCAGGAAGGAGATTCAGACCCATTGACTTTAATGAATTCATTCCTCCAAAACATTCGTTGTAGTATGCAACTACCTTGGAACTTAAACCCTTGCCATCACATTTAAAATATGTTTATCTAGCTAGAGATAATACTTTGTCGGTTATTATATCTACTTGTCTAACCCCCGACCAAGAGTGTAGATTGTTGAGTGTATTATCGCAATATAAAAAAGCTCTCGGGTGGACTATAGAAGACCTGAAGGGAATCAGTCCTACCATATACATGCACAAGATCCAGTTAGATGATTTCCACGGTAATTCTGTGGAACCCCAAAAAGGACTTAGTCTGATAATAAAGAAAGTGGTGATAAAGGAAATCATCAAATGACTAGATGCTGGGGTGATTTATCCCCTATTTGATAGCTCTTGGGTCAGCCCGATTTAATGTGTGCCGAAGAAAGGTGGTGTAACCATGGTGAAAAATGAGGACGATGATATCTTGTCGACAAGGATTGTCACAGGTTGGAGGATTTGCATGGACTATAAAAAATCAACAAGGCAACAAAGAATGACCATTCTCCCTATCATCCATCGATCAAATGCTTGATTGTTTGGCGGGCAAGGCATTTTATTACTTTTCTGACGGATATTTTGGGTATAATCAGATTGCTATTGCACCAGAATATCAGGAGAAGACCACCTTCATGTGCCCATATGGCACATATGCCTTTAGGAGGATGTCATTCGGATTATGTAATGCCATGGAAACTTTTCAGAAGTGTATGATAGCCATTTTTCCAGACATGGTGAAAGACTTCTTGGAAATTTTAATGGATATTTTTTTTGTATTGAGTGATGACCTTGATAGATGCCTCAGTAGTTTATCTAAAGTACTGAAGCAATGCGTGGAGGACAACCTTGTGCTTAACTGGGAGAAGTGACACTTTATGGTTACAGAAGGACTTGTGTCGGGTCAAAAAATTTCTCACAGTTGCATAGAGGTTGACAAGGCCAAGGTGGAAGTGATTGAAGAGTTCCCTCCACCCACCACCGTGAAAGGCATAAGGAGTATCTTGGGACATGTGGGGTTGTACAGGCGTTTCATCAAAGAGTTTTCAAGGATTTCTAAGCCTCTTTGTCTTTTGCTGCAACACACTACAGCAAAACTGGCTTTTTGCGGCGTTTTTTACATATAGCAGCGTTTTTAAGCGCCGCTAAAAACACATGCGGCGTTATGACAAACGCCGCAAAAAGCGCCGCTGAAAATAGCGTCGCTAAAGTTCACGGTGTTTGTTAACGAAAAACGCCGCAATAGGTGACGATATATAGCGGCGTTTGTTGAAAAAACGCCGCAATAGGTGTTGCTGTTTAGCGACGTTTGTCTTAAAAATGCCGCAATAGGTGTTGTTGTTTAGCGGCGTTTTTCCCACAAACGCCGTAGTAGGTATTGCTATTTAGCGGCGTTTGGCTTACAAACGCCGCAATAGATATCGTTGTTTAGCAGTGTTTTTCCCACAAACGTCGCAATAGGTGTTGTTGTTTAGCGGCGTTTTTCAAACAAGCGCCGCAATAAGCGTTGAGATTTAGCGACGTTTTTATCGAAAACGCCGCTACATGTTATGATATTTAGCGGCGTTTGTGGTAAAAAAATGCCGCTAATAACTATGTATATAGTGGCGTTTTCTTCACAAAACGCCGCAAAAGAACCTGACTTCTGGTGACTTTTATTTACAAACGCTGCTATGGTTATCTGATTTCGCATATATCATTTTCTATTTTATTACGTAAATTTAATATTCTAGCATTATCTAATAACAATAAACTTAAAATTTAATTACGACACAAAATGTAGAAAAATAAATCAAAATTTATAAAATAAAATGTAACATGGTTCAACATTGGTCACTAGAATATCATTGAAAGCTCAACTGACAAAGAAAGAAGGAAAAGAGGCATGTTCTGTTCTTGGAACTACCGCAAATTAGTCTCTGCCTCAGTCCGAACTTTTGTATCCTGATTGGGCAGCATCAGAAATTTAGTGATCTCCATAGCCATTTTAACTAACCTGCAATTGGAAACAAAAAGCACTATTCAACATTGGTGAATAGGACACAAATACATCACTAGAGATTGTAGCCAGTTATAACTGAACAATATCAAACAGTCATAATAGTAATAATCATGGTTGGAGCCTTGGAGCAGATGTTGAAGGAAGAAACTTATCAAACCAGACAAGTTATCCGAAAACATAAATCAACATTTACCAAGCTTAATATAGAGTAGAATATCATTGCCAATGATAGGTCAACAGTGACAAATATGCTGAAATAGTGAAATCATACTTAAATCCCTATACTTAAATAAGAATATTAAAATTTCAAGTGCATGCAGTAACTTCTTTGTTCAATTTCTTAATCGTTGTCCCTCTCAATGATATATCATATTTTTGATTTTGAAGTTCAACCTAACGAAGAAATAAAAGTATTACAATTTAATGTTATAGGATCTATCTTATAATTACATAAACCCAAAAGTTCTTCAAACCCCCTTCGCACAATCACAGAAATCAAAACACCGTTACTGAAAAGAATAAGAGAGAGAGGGACTCATTAAGGGGCCAATAATAGTCCCAGTCCATGACTGCATGTATATATCATCAGTATCATCCATTCCATAGCTAACAGTTTCATCCCCAATTCCCTTTTCGCCCATCTCAAGCTCTTCCAGCAATCTGAAATTCCTGGGCACTGCACAAAGCCATACATTTTAGTCCCGAGATCATAATTGTAACAAAGTCATGTATGAAGATTTTATGAAGACCGTCCTTAAAAATTCAGTTCTAGAAAATATTTAAAACAAAAGTTTCTTCAATAGCAAAAAGTAAAATCCAAGACTAAAAGAAATGGTTGGATGGTATGTCAAAGAATCCAAAACAGTCAACAAGATACCAGAAATAACTGAAGTAATCCCGATAGAATACAAGTTAAACCGCAAACATTTGTTTTCAAATGTTCATTTAAGACGGCTAGCACTCTGTAAACAGATGCATATGAATCCCACATCACAATACCGTTTGATCTCATCAAATTCCTTGAGAAGTCATAAGCAAAATAAGATCAACATCACTGCCTCTATCCTGACTTAGGCCACCTCATCTTCAACCAATCCCATATAGTTTCAAGGAAGTCATAAATACTCAAAAGAAGTTGGGTATCGCCAAAAGCTTATAAACAACGAGTGCTATTAAAAACCATCCATCCCAAACAAACACGTTCTATAATGACTCACTTACTACCTTTGACCATTTACCTTTTAGAAGAATCAGTGCTACATGAATTAGGTGAGAAGACTAAATATATAAATACATACATACATATACATTTATATAACACAATCAGTGTATCAAAGAAAAAAACAAACAAACAAACAATCAATGTGCTTTACCTTGAGTAAATTTGAAACCAAAAAGTCGTTCCATCATCCATCATCATTATTATTTATTATTATTATTATTATTATTATTATTATTAGTATTATTATTATTATTATATTATTATTATTATTATTATTATTATTATTATTATTATTATATTATTATTATTATTTTATTTTTATATTATTATTATGAAAGCTATATTCAAATTAACTTAAAATTTCAGGACCAGATTAATGATAACAAACAGAAAAAATTAACTGTATTGTTTTAGTGCCCATATCCACTTCATGCGGTAATAAAGTTCCTCGATTATAAAATTTTAATAATTACCTCCAGATAAACCAAAATAAGCTTTTATCTTGGACACACTCCAAGAAGTATGCCTTAGCTAGCTTCTTTGATTGCCTGGTTTATAAGTGCGCAAGCTGCCATAAGATAAATCCTAAAAAGAGAAACCACGAATATAATATTAAATATAATGATTCAAATTAATAAAAAAGGAACATTACTGATCATCTACCTGTTGGATCACCTCCATATTCAGCAATATTATTACAACGAATGAGATGCCTTGAGAAGCATCTTCCACCATGGCACTTATTGTGCCCTGGAAAATTTATGCATGAAGATTCCAACTATGAGAAATAGGACACTTGAAGCATAAATTTAAAACAGTAATCAATGAGGCTTTTGAATAAGGGACCGATCCTTATAATATCAAGATTTACACCATGTAAAGCGGTTATGTTGTAATAACCAAACATAATATTTTACACAATATTCCAAAATATTATATAGTGAGCAGTGCTAAAGTTTGCACCTGGAACCATTATCAAAATACAACTTACAGACTTTGTACCCAAAAAATATATGGAGATATAGTCACTTTAGAATCCCATTGAGAATAAATTTAATATACAAAAACATGGTTGATCAAGAAACATTACATTTGAAATTCGAGAATAGAAGAATATAAAAAGAAGATGATGACGATAAAATTGATAAACCAAAGGTAACACATTTTAAAGAAGTTTGATGTGAGACCAACAGAAGGTAAGATAACAAATTTTATTATGCGATCATTACATGCCCTAATAGACAAATTTGCCCTAATAAGAACTTTAAAACTAAACAAGCTAAGAAATAATTCTGCAGATAATGTGTAAACATGAGTCTAGCTGATAATAAAAGAAGAACATGTTAAATTTCACGATCATCAAATCATGAAGGCTTCTATATGCAATTCTTAAGAATGCTTGAATGGCCTATAACAACAATCAGTTTACAGTAACAAATATATGGGAATCTCAGCTGACAGTAATTTCAAAAAATAAAAAACCCCTAAGTCCTTGTGCGACATAAAATGATAAAGGCACTCTGATCTTGAAGTTCAAGCCTTGTGTATGAGAATTGATACTTCTACTCTTCTCTTTTGACCAACCTAAAATTGAGTTTGTTAAATAATTGTATCCCATTAAAGAATTCTTTTATAATTCTTCTTGCATTCATCAAGAATTTTCTTGAACTACAATGCATGAAACTCTGTTCCTACATCTTCACTACTCAGCCAACTGATTCATTGTCTATCATGCTGAAAATTTTACCTTCAATTTCAGCTTAACCATCTTACTTCACTTTTGTCCTAGCGGACAAAGATTCTTCTAGGTCTCCTTGAGATGAAAGTGCTACATTTCTTCTTGAAAACTTTGAACGGGTCTTGACAATAATAGAAGTAAAGCTTCCTCAATAATCATTATTAGATTTTCAATGTAACCTGGACTTGAGCATTAGTGTCGAATATGGGCAATTTTTGTAAGTACATTTTTCATATATTTGGAGTATCGTACTCCATATTCATTCTGGATATGTGTTTGAACCTATACAAGTTCTTGAAGAAATGAAGAGCTGGTGTGTAGGGAGCTTTACATAAATGGTCATCAATCAATATCATAAAAAGATACGTCCCTTACAGCTTCAGGTATTGCAGCACATTCCAAACCCAGATAGTCAGTAAAGGAAACCTGTTCTACTTTCTAATAAATAAAAACATAGCAAGGAGCCACTAAAACCAATGCTGGTCCTTCTTTTCCCGTTTCTATCATTCTACGCTAGTACAAAGATTTTGGCACCATCCGATCAATAAAAGTTGTTATGAAACGCTGATATGGATCCCAGAAATAGTACTTAAACATTTTACAAAATAGAAAGAATCAGAACACCTCAAACAAAAGTTCATGGCACTCAATCTATGAGAAATTTTAACATACGAAAACAAGAATTTCAAAATGACTAACAAAACAAATAAGCATATAAAGTATCACAATGGACAGGAAAAGAATCATACCCGAGATAGCAGAAAAAGCTTCACACATAATCGAGAAGGAGAAAGGTATCGGCAGCAAGGCCCAATTCTCGGCTAATAGACTGGCGGGGAGACTAATCGGATAGCAAAGCGAGGGAGCTATCGCTGGGAATTTGGCGAGATCTCTGCTGGTGGTTGTTAGCAAAAGAAACATTAGAGTTATTGTTAAGGTCGCTTGTTGAATTGTAACTGGAAACTCTATGTAGGAGAGGCGTAATGGCCCTGTCAGGTTCGAATTGGGAGGAGTTGCGGAGGGTTGTCGATGGGACAGCATCGATCTTAGCTTTGACCACCGTTTTGGGTGGTGGTGCAGAGGAGGAAGGGTGGTTTGATATGGGCAGGATTGGAGATGGCATAGTTTTTTTAGTTTGGAAAAGCCTGAGATTAGGTTTTGGTAGCAAATGTTAGTTTATCTGTTTATGTAGGTGGGATTGGGAAACCGTAACTAGTGTTTTGAATTCAAAGAAGTTCCCGGCCTGGGTTGAGGGTGGGGCGGGAGAAAAGTTAGGATGGAGAAAAAGGATACGGTTTTATGGAAATTAGAGCCGTGCCTAATGATGGCAAACGCCCATCGGCCCTCAATACCACAATTTCTTATTTGCCACTTGGAGACCACTTAGAAACTGTAAAATTGTGGCGTTTGTAAATACAAACGCCACTAAAGTACGAGTCATTAGCAGCGTTTGTATTCAAAACGCCACTAAAGTACGAGTCTATAGCGACGTTTGCATTAAAAACGCCACTAAAGTACGAGTATATAGCGGCGTTTGTATAAAAACGCCACTAAAGTACGAGTCATTAGCAGCGTTTGTATTCAAAACGCCACTAAAGTACGAGTCTATAGCGGCGTTTGCATTCAAAATGCCACTAAAGTAAGAGTCTATAGCGGCGTTTGTATAAAAACGCCACTAAAGTACTAGTTTATAGCGGCGTTTATATAAAAATGCTACTAAAGTACGTGTCTTTAGAGTCGTTTGCATTCAAAACGCCACTAAAGTAGAGTTTATAGCGGCGTTTTTGGATACAAACGCTACAAAATGTTAGATCTATAACGGCGTTTCTAGATACAAACGCCGCTAATTACCTTTTATTTAGATAATATTAGTATATTTTACATATTTCATTTCTACTGTACATCAACTAAATTGACTGATATATGTATAAACAATATATGGAGAAACATTAGTTGATTTTACGTTAGCTTTTTGGGTTTTCCCCATTTTCAGATAATACAAACGCCACTTAGAAATTCCGTCGACGATAATTTCTCTTACTCAAGGCAACACCTGCTCTTTTTTTCTCAAATACGTTAGCTTTTTGGGTTTTCCCCATTTTCAGAAGACTAAAAAAATGAAAAAGATCATTAAAGATAAGAGGGATCAAACCGTGCAGTTGTTTTATAGTTCGTCGATGAGAGGCCTGATTTGGTCGCCGGGACATACAAACGACGACGTCGTAGGAATCGTTTGAGAGCTATTGTTGTTCTAGAGAAGAAGCTTTGATGGAATAAGAGTTTAAATGATTTTAGGGTTCGGGTAGGAAAAAAAGAGGACTATATATTTAATATTTTGCGGCGTTTATACAAAAAAATGCCACTATTGATTACATTATTGTGGCGTTTGTTAAAAAAATGCCACTATTGATTAAAACTATTACGGCGTTTTTGTAAAAACGCCACTATTGATTAACACTATTGCGGCGTTTGTCTAAAAACGCCACTATTTATTATAAATATTGCGGCGTTTTAAGAATAAATGCCACTATATGTGTAATCTATTGTGGTGTTTATACCATAAACGCCGCTAATTTACCGATTTATTGTGGCGTTTTGGCTAAAACGCCACTATATATTAATATATTGCGGCGTTTGTGGTATAAACGCCGCTAATTTACCACTCTATTGCGGCGTTTGTTGTAAAAACGCCGCTATATGTCAACTCTATTGCAGCATTTTTACAAAAAACGCCGCTAAAGTATCAATTTGTGGCGCTACGATTGTAAACGCTGCTATATGTTTAACTTTTGTTGCGTTTTCTCTCCAAACGCCGCTAAAAACGCCACTACATATCAGTTTTGTTGTAGTGACAATACCAGTCGTTCATGTTAAATGATGACTGGTTTAGCGCATTTAAAGAGCTGAAAGAAAAACTTATCACGACACCAATTGTTATTCCACCTGACTGGGATGCCCCATTCGAGGTGATATGCATGCGAGTGACTACGCAATAGGGGCGATGTTAAGGCAAAGAAAAAGTAAAATATTTCATATAATTTATTTTGCTAGTCGTACCCTAAATGATACACAACTTAACTATACCACCACTGAAAAAGAATTGCTTTTTGTGGTATTCATTTTTATAAGTTTAGGGCATACCTTATAGGTATTAAGGTCATTGTGCATACCAATCACTCGACCATTAAATACTTAGTGAATAAAAAAGATGCCAAGCCTAGGCTTATTATATGGATACTCTTTTTACAAGAATTTTATTTAAAGGTGAAGGATGGGAATGGTACCGAGAACCAAGTAGCGGATCACTTGTCTAGGCTAAAGAACACAAAAAAAATCCATGACATGAAAGAAATTTAGGAGGAATTCTCAGACGATAAAATATTATTTGCCACGGCAACACCATGGTATGCTGACATAGTTAATTTTCTTATTAGCGGTATTATGCCTCCAAATTTATCTTGTCAAGGCAAAAAAATCAGACATGTTGTGCGCCATTACTATTGGGACAAACCGTTCTTATTCAAGCAATGTACTGATCAAATAATCCGGAGTTGCATCCCTGAAGAGGAACATGAAGAGATCCTATTTCATTGCCCTACATCCCTATGTGGAGGGCACTTTGGTGGGGATAGGACTACTGTAAAGGTCCTACAATCTGACTTTTATTGGCCCACATTGTTTAAAGATGCACATGACTTCTATAAGTTATGTGATCATTGCCAACTTACCAGGAATATATCAAAGAGAAATGAGATGTAATGGCAAAATATTTTGGAAGTTGATCTCTTCGATTTATAGGGGATCAATTTTATGAGACCATTCCCATCATCCTTTGCCGATCTGTACATACTTTTGGCTATGGATAACGTGTCCAAATGGGTCGAGGCTATGGAAACATCTAGAAATGACCCCAAGATAGTGCTAAAATTCTTGCACAAAAATATTTTCATGTGTTTTAGAGTTTCAAGAGCAATTATCAGTGATGAGGGCACCCACTTTGACAAAAAATTAGTTACCAAGGCTTTGAAAAGATATGGGGTGTGCCACAAAATTGCCAAGATATACCACCCACAGACCAATGGGCAAGTTGAAGTCTCCAACCACGAGATCAAGCAAATACTCGAGAAAGGTGGTCAATCCAATGAGAAAAGATTGGTTACCGAAGCTAGATGAGGCATTATGGGTTTATCGCACAGCTTTCAAGATGCCACTAGGGGTGCCTCCATTCAAGTTGG